TCAGGTTGGCTGCTGGGTTAGGTCGGGCTAGCTCCAGAGAAGGTTCTGGAGATAATTCCACGGGTTGGACGGGCCTGGGTTTAGCCAAGAAGATTGGGATGAAGGGTTTGACCTGGTAGGGTTCATTTAAGCTCCCATTGACTGTTTGACTGGTCAACAGGGGTCAAGGGTTGCTGATGTGGAGTCTAAATCATGCCTAGAGCAGATCTAGACTGTTAGATAGACTTGGTTTTAAGAGAGTAAGTTAGATGGGGGAGTTTGACCATATAAATGGTCCTTTAAGCCTTGAGTTGACTGGTTTGACCAGTCAACTCAGTCAATGGTTGATGAGGTGGAGTTCAAACAGATGTTGGAGAATAGTGGTGTTTGCAAAGGGGTTTGATACACAGGTTCATTACATGAATGAATGGGACCTTGTATAGTGAAGTTTGACCATGTATTTTGACTTGACTAAGTCAAAGTCATTGGGATGGATTTGGGAAATGTTTGAGAATATTTGAATCATGCTTTGAAGTTTGTTTTAATATGTTTAGGTAGTTGATTATGGTTATACACAAAGATTGGGTTTAAATGGTTCCAGTTGACCAAGCTTGGGTCCATTCGATCTAGTCAACTGGTGATGAGATCAAGATGATTGGTCAAGTCTTAATCACTAGGAGAAGTACTTGAGGAAGTTTAGTGGAGTTTAGAAGTGATTTAGAATTGAATTAAAGGATAATTGAAGTTTTGATGATCATTGAGCTAGCCTGAGCTAGCTCAATTAATCATGTTGATCAATCACTAATTAAAGAGGTCAATGATGTGGGATTTGATATATAAAGCTGCTGATGAAATGGTTTGAATTTGATTGAGGTCCAAGGGTTAATGCACTACAAAGTAGTGTACTGGGTTCCTGGCTATAGTGGAAGAATGTAGGTGATTGATTGAAGAATGGAGATACACTTGAGAGCTAGAGTTTATAGGATCATTGATGGGTTGAGGCTTATTGACCAGGAATTGAATGGTTGAAGTATTTGAATTTGATTGTAGGTCAAATGATTAATTGTAGTTTTAAATGTATGCAGGTTGATTGGACTTTGATTGAATGTTGATTGTATGCAGGCTATAAGATTGAGTGAAATTCTGATTGAGTATGAAATTGATTGATTGAGATTTAACTTATATTTGATTAAAAGTGTGATAGAAGGTTAGATCGAGTGTTGTAGTCTGGATTAAGCTAGATATTGATTGAAGATCATGATTGTTTTTTTGAAGTTTGAATAGGTTTGACATCTAAATGGATTTGAGATATAGATTGAATTGAATCAGGATTGATCTAAAGCCTAGATTGATATATGATCTAGATAGGTCTAAGGTTTAGATAAATCCTAAGGTCTGGATAGATCTAGGGTCAAGATAGATCCTAGGATCTAGATTGGTCTGGAGGGTAGATTAATCTGGGGTCAGGATCAAGGTTTGAATTGGAATTTGAATCAAGTAGAGTCTAAAGTCTGGGTTTGATTAAAATTTGAATTTATTGAGGTATGAGTCGATTTTGAATTTGAATTGATCAAAGGTTTAGATTGATTTAGATCTAGATTGATTTTAAAATCCTAGTGACCTCATTCAAAAACGAGGTCAGCAAATGCAAGCCCAACAGGTGTGATGAACTCAAAGAGTAAATCATACGTGTTGGCATTGACCGAAGCAGATCAATGAAAGTGAAAAGCTGGGGAATTGATTGAGAGATCAATTTTCATCAAGTGAAAATTGGACCTAACTGAGAGATCGATTCTCAGAGAGGTGAAATTTAAACCTCAGGCGGGAGATCGATTCCCAAATAAAGGTGAGTGTTCAGATGGGAGATTGATTCCCAAATGAATATATTTAGAACCTGACCGATAAATCGATTATCGGAAAGGTGAAATTTAAACTTTGACTGGAAGATCGATTTCCAGACGAAACTCCACTGGTGATCAGTTTGCTGACTGTGTTGTTTGTTGTAAGCCTTGATCTTTTTATCTTTATATAACTCGAGGTTCGATTGAGCCTGCGGTTGCTTCCCTTTCGAAATTTCGAGCTCTTCTAACTGGAATTTAAAATTCTATTCTGAGATAAGATTGTAGTTTACTTCGACTCGGAGTGAAAGTAGCTGTACTTCCAAAAGGATAACAGCCTCTGCACCAACGACTAAAGCAAATATCATAGATTAAGTTGGAGTTCTATATGTGGTTATGTATACCCATAAAGCATCAACCAACTTCTCGTGCTATTAATACTTACTGTCGTTTAAAGTCTTCTTAAACTCTGTACCAGGATTTATTGAAGGCCTCTATCATTCCATTTGCCCGAGAGTAATAGATGGTCGAGTATCTCCAATTGATATTGTGATATATATAGTGAGGTCATATATTTTAGATCTTCTGAATGAAGGACCATTATTTGGGATAATCCAAAAAGGACCACCAAATCAGTACACAATATTGTCTTTGAAAGGTGTTAGGACTTGATGAGCTTCAACTTTTCTCAAAGGAAGTATTCATCCTTAGGTTAGATTAGTGTATAGCACACAATCCAACATATAGTTCTTCTACAGTCTTCTGTGCTTTTACTTTATTCAGATACATCAACCACATCTGATCGAATGATCTTCTATATAGAAGGAAATTAATCGGAGTATAAGATAATAAACATCTTTTGATCTAATCTGGATTTGATTTCTCCTGAGGGATCTTGTTTTCTCGCAAGTATTTGATGAAGGGTTTTCTCCAATCCACCTCTTTATAGTAAACTGCTGAAACAATTTTCACCTCAGATGGGGGTTTTCTGTATAACGTTGCATTTGAAATTTATTCTAGCAGATGTATGATATATTATTGTTAAGGAATCATGATATCTTTCGATACTTTGTAAATTGTAGCTACCTGATTAATCAGAAGCCACGAATCTCCAAAGATTTTGTTATATATTTGATATAATTTAGAATTATCAAATCTAAACCGGTTAAACCAACATAGTTGACAAGGTTCATCCACAAAATGATAATATTTTTAAATGAAAATGACCCAAAGTCACCCCGATAATGGCCATGTTGAATGAAAATCTCAACCGAAGAGGTCCATTCCAAATACTTCAAGTGCTCATCGAAATTCAAAACTCTACAAAGTCCAAAATTTAAAATAATCTAAAAAATTAAAAAATATTTAAAATTGAAATCGAACTATCAAATACTTAAAATAAAATCCATCCACCATTCTCAATAGTTTGCCGAGGTGGACAAATTAAATTCTACTTTAGCTCACAAAGAGCTAATGCTAGTCGAAAATATCATTATGATCCATTCTCAAACAATCTCCTGCCAGTAAGGACGTGGTACGTGTCCTCTAACCGGCAGTTTTGTTGTCAAATGATACCGCAGGATAAACAGTTATGAGCCGGGGCCCTCTGAATTGAGTGTTTTTGCTATCAAATGGCACCACGAAATACCGGTTATGACCAGAGTCAATATGCTCTTTAGTGGCATCAAATCCTTGAGATATGAATCAATAGTATATAATTGATAGGGCACAAAGCCCTGTGTTAGCTAAGGTGGATTCAAATTTGTCCCCTTAGACAAATACTCACCCCAGGTCTACAAGGTTTCCTTGGACGAAGCAACCCATGGCTGCCGACAAGGATCCTTCTGTCAGGTTGGGTTGACTACCTCCTCTGAATAAGTAGACCAGGGACCACGATGGCCCGGGACGACGGAATCATGGGATCTTGATCGGGTCTATCATCCATCCCCCCACCATCCGCTTTAAGTGCAAGATGGTGAAATTTCTATTTTAAATATTAACCTTTTTTTTTAAATTCTCAAATCCAAACCCGATTTCCAAATTCCAATACTCTTGCTGCTGCTATATGCCAGATAGCATGTATTTCTACGTACCTGATTGATGACTAGCCTTAATCGAAAGTTCTCTCTCATGATTGGGAGGGGTAATTAACTATAGGGCCTTGCGCCTATAGGAAACTAGAACTCATATCATAAAGTCCTCGCAAAATGAGGACGAAATCTCTGGGTAGTGTCTTATCTACAATCTCATCTGCCTTACAAAATTTACCCCGGAACTTAATTCCGTTAAACTCTCTCGCCGGAAAAAAAAAAAGCAAACAATGGGCGGAGGCCGGGTCTGAATTTCGGAGCCCACACTAATTCTATTTGCCATGGACCATGGTGTTAATGAGCCAATATATAATTTTTTTTTTACAGATCAATATGTCATAAATTTTGGATCCTCTTTTTCCTGAGAAAGAGTTGCACTAATGAGATAATCATCCTTGATTTTCCACTGTGAACATCATAAATAATTGAGCCGATGGGAGGTAATTTTGCCAGTTCAATTTGTGCCCTATGACTGATAGATTTAAGAAGGAATTTTGATGATTATCATGTGGCCATGATTGATTGGTTCATAGCTGAAGGTGGTGTTGGAGGAGAAGCTTTTTTTTCAGAAGCCATTTTATTTTTAATAATTTTTATGGTTAATAGAGAAGAATCAAATTATATTTTAAATGGCGAGTGTAGGTCTTCAGGGAGTTTTGCAGGATCAAAGATGAAGGTCTTGACTTCCTGCGTTTTCCCAAGTTCTGGATGTGAGTTCGAAGGAGAGGACTCTACGTCTTGCGAGATCGAAATGTTATCGGAACGTTCAATAATTGTAATTTAGATGGTTTCTAAAATTGACGTTTATCCCGTCCTTCAGGCGAGTGTTGAACCATAAACATATTGAATCTGGTTGTAATATGTCCAAAGGTAATTAATTTAACATCATCCGAATGTATATTAAAATTGTCATTTTCTTGAATGTTTGGCGCATATGCCAAAATTTCTTATTGCGCACAAAGTTTGTACCATTACTGTTAAAAATAGATGCAAAACAGTTGCTGCAAAAGCAATTTTTCCTTTGTTTATTTCCTGTATTCCCCTAGTTTATTTTAGCCTGGTTTTTTTTAATTGTTATTAAATCTTTTTGCAGGCTTTCATGAATTTTAGCAGCAAGAGCACAATTGGCTGGAGCATTGGGTTTGTATTACTTGACCTATCTGGAGGCCTACTAAACTTCGCTCAAATGTCCATGCAGTCTATAGACCAAGGTTTCTGAGTGATTTCAGAGCTGCAAAGTGGTAGATACAAATTGATATTTTCTTACTTGGCTTCCATTTTGATGAACTTATATCATCATGTAGGTACAATGATAAACTTCTATGGCAATCTGGGGAAGACATTGCTTTCTCTGGTATCTTTTCTTTATTAATTTTATTTTCCTTTCAAATGCAACTAAAGGTGGTGGCATCCTTTAATGTAGTATTCACAGTTTTGTACAGATAATTTTTCCCTTATCAAATTGCCTAAAAGAAAAGCTTTTGAGAACTTATTGATAGTTTGGCATGTTTTTTTTCTAGCCTAGGAAAAGCATATGAGTGGTTTATGGTGCTGAATGTTGGCCATTAAAAAAGAAGCATAATACTAAGTAAGTGTTGTAGAGATGAGGATGCTTAGGTGGATGAGTGGATTTACTCTTAGAAATAGGATACGAAATGAGCTTATACGTGAAAAGGTTGAAGTAGCTCCAGTGGAAGATAAGATTAGAGAGAGTCGTCTTAGATGGTTTGTTCACATAAAACGGCAGCCTTCAGATGACCCGGTTAGAAAAGTAGAGGTATTAGATTTGACTTATGTTAAGAAAGATAGAGGTAGACCAAAAAAAATTGATTAGAAAATCTTTTTTTATTAGATTTAAATGAGAATTTGATTTTTAACGGGACACAATGGAGCAAATGATTCATGTAGCCGACCCCACGTAGTGGGACAAAGGCTTGATGTTTTGTTGTTGTTGTTGAGTTGTCCAGAAGTCTTTCAATCTATTTTCTTATGTTTTAAGCGATCAAGCAATAGTAAATTTGTTCAAATATGGCTTCTTTCTTGGACGCCTTACTCTCTACAAAACCATTCTACATGTAATATACACAATATTTAAAATTTGGCTTACTGGGCATATCCATTAGCAAGATTTTCTTGCAGTACAAAGCATGTTGCATTTTCTCGGATACTCTGATTTTTGAAATTTCTTCTAATCATTTGCAGGTAGTCGTATTTTTTGATCTTCTCTTCATAATTCAGCATTATCTGCTCTATCCTACGGCGAAGAACGAAACCAATCAAATACTCATCGAAGAGGCTGTCGCCCCCCTCATCGACTCACCTGAGAAATCCCAGGAGAATGCTTGATAAGAATGTTCTTTCAACTTCTCCATCAGAGATGGGCTGTAAATAGGTTAAGAAATTTACTAGCATATAATAGGCAGTTTCATAGTAGTCTCAAGTTATCATCAAAGGACTTCATAGCATATTAGTGTTCAAATGTCAATATAGACTTCGTTTGGGATGGTTTTTTTATTGCTTTTTAAAGCAGTTTTTTTAGCTTTAAAAAACAATAATAAAACCGTTCCAAACGAAGCCATAATTAGTGTCGACATGACCATAGATCTAATATGATATTTTATTGACGGTTATGGTGGTGGATAAAATATTTTGGGTATAAGGCTGGAAGTGTGTGAAAAAAAATTAGCTTCCAGGTTGTTGGTTTGTAAGAAATCTTGAATTGCGATGAATGTAAATTGACAAACTGAAGTAGTTCTAATTGGTTTCAGCGAGTCAATATGTGCTAGTGAACATCTGGATTGGAGCTCAAATGAGCTTGAATCACTACGAAACGGTTCTAGATCATCCTTTAACTTGGGTCACCTCACAGAGTTTAAATCAGACCGTTGTTTGTAAATAGCTAAACTATTTTTTATGTTTTTTGTTGCCATGGAGCTTTACATGGAGGTGTTTGGCAAAGCTTGCAAAAATTAGATTTACTTCATCTCACCATACGATCTTTTAGTTTACATCTCCATTTAAAAATTTTAGATTCCACTGCTCGGTTCACTGTTTGATATGTCTTCAATATTCACATGATATGTAAATTTAGAGAAATATTTGAATTAAAAAATTCAAAATTAAATTTACGATCACTCGAACTTAAATTTTACCAAAGTTTTAGATGAACAAAATATCTTGATAAGACAAATCTATCGACTCTACAAGTCATCCAATTTGACTCCAAATGATCTTAGCTCAATCTCTTGAAAGATTAATTGAAGGATTGAATGCTCTTCATATTTTATGTGCTTATGGTCAAATTGAGTGTCTCGTTGAAATGAATTTAATGAGTCCAAAATCTACATCATTAAGACACTAGAAGCACGGGTAGGTATAGGGGGGTTTATGGGGGCACATGCCCCCTCTGAAATTTAGAAAGAACCGCGTACTCCTTTCTCTTCCTGCTTACTCCCTCCTCGACCTTCTGTTGTTGCTATCAATGGCTCGACTAGCTTCGATGCGTATGAGCCATTGGTCACCTTCAGCGAGAGGTCCACTACTGCTACCACCATTGTTGAATGGCCTATCTGCTCATCTTCGTTCCCTTAAGAAGAATTTGTTTGCCACTACTTGGACTATTGTCTCGATCCTTCCGCTTATGCGGAACGGATGTTCGCGTCACTTACCACGTTAGCGGCTTCTTGTCCGGGGAACAGGTTGAAGCATTGGTAGAGATTGTGGTTAAGATGCTGATAAATGTGGCTCGAGAATCGGAGAACTAGAAGTTTCAGAAGATCCATATGAGGAATTGAAAGATGAAGGAAGCGATTGGGGATGTTGTAGAAGGGTTAGAGTTGCTGGAGTGTGTCGGGTTTACTGTTTAGGATCCAGGAGGAGGATGGTGAGAAATGGGCGACGACGGGGGAGCTGATGTAAGGGAGGATTGCTATGATCAAGGAGGCAGTTTTTTTGTTGGAGACGTGGAAGGGAAAGGATGTTGTAGCGATAGAGAATAAGACTCTGGAGAAATTGGTTCCGAAGGAGAGTGAGCAAAAGTCAATTGACCGCAATTTAGTGTGCTTTTTCTGCCTTTTTTTTTTTTTTAGGATTTAATATCAAACTCAACTTTGTTGATTTTGGCATCCTGATTTGTGTTGTGCTTTTTAAGGATATCAATTCTCATTCTCATTAGCTTTTTCTCACCATCCAAGAGTAGGATGGTGAGAAATCTATTAGCTTAGAAATCAAAATTGTGTCGAAATATCTTATCCATTAAGTAAGTATACTTAATCCGTTTTGTAGGCTTTGATTCTCAGCACCATGTTATCACAATTTTATTCTACTCCATAATGTCTGTTTGAATAGTAATTATATATATATTTTAATTTTTTTTTCAAATAATCACTCATATGAATTATATAATTAATGTATGACTTGTAGAAATATAATTTGATGTTTATTATTATCCAAAAAAATTTGGGCCGCCTCTATTAAAAGTTGACTAGAAGGTTAGATAAATGATTTATGATCAATAAGATCAATATGAACCATTCAATGTAGTGTTTCAAATTTTGGCCAAATGTAGAAGGTTGGACAAATAATCTATGATCAATGAGGTTAAGATAAACTTAATTTTTTAGCATGAATAATCTTTTGATTTTATTTTCTTTGAACTTTACCAATAAAAAACATTATGTTCACAAAAGTTAAATTCAAAAATGATACTCGATAAGTACAGCATAATTATTGAATTTAGAATTACTTGTGAATAGCATTCAACAATATTAAAAATGTTGAATGAAAAAGAAATATACAAATAAAGAGAGAAAAAAATTATGAAGTAAGAAGCTCCAAGATTTATGTAAAATATGCTTGATGAACTCATATTTTTAGCAGTACCGAGTGCCGGCACCTAGCGCCGAATAATGTTTGTGCGGACGGTTCTTCATGTCTGCACTCCGCACCTAATAATCTCTCCCATTTGAGACTGCTATAATATTTTATAAAGATGGTTATAAAAATATAAAGGAGAAAGTAATTGTTTTGAAAGTTGCTGTAGAAATCACGTCTCTAACAAACAAATTTTCTAAAAGCAACGATAAAGTAGTGGCCAGATAGAAAATGTTGTTGTGATTTGAAAATCAAAGTAGCGTAAAAGCTGAAAAAAAAAAAAATTGAATAAAGCAAATAGAAAATTCAGTTTGTATTTTTAAAATATGAAATCTTTATCCTTCATAGAAATGATAATTTTTTTAACATAATATTTGTTCTTTCTCTATGAAAATTTAGAGATCTGATATCCATAAAATTTTGCAGCATTTTGAAACAGATCTGAAATATAAAATCGTATCCATTGCTCCGTTCCATGCACTAAACCGAGAAACCGTCCGGATTATTTGAACCAGATAACCGCTCCCAAAATGCAATAACAGCTAAAGGCGATGGGTTTTCTGTAAAGTTTGTAGTTTAGAGTTTACACAAGTTAAAAGCAAGGACTTTTTTGTAAAGTTGCCTGCAACATCCAATAACTCCATTTGCCGAACCGCTTTCAACTTGTCTGTTTTCTTCTGTAAGGTCTCTCGGGTTCAAGAGAGAGAGCCAGCAAGGAACCGAAAAGAAGAAAAAATGGCGGGTTGGAATTCCGTTTATCTTGAAGTAACGTACCAGGTACTCGGATGGATCGCGTTCTTCGCTTGGTCATTCAGCTTCTACCCTCAAGTTGTCCTCAATTTCAAGCGCAAAAGGTCTGATTTTACAATCTATTATTTGTCGTTTTCGTCCTTTGGTTGAAGAAGAAACATGGAAATTTGATGATTTTAATGTTTGAACTTTGTTTTTGTTCTGGTCATTGAAGCGTGGTGGGATTGAACTTTGATTTCTTGGTGTTGAATTTGACGAAGCACTCGTCATATCTGATCTATAACGCGGCCCTCTACTTTAGCCCTGAAATTCAGAGGCAGTACCATGAGAAATATGGATTTGACGAGGTAGATAAACGCTTCATTTGTTTCATCTCGTGTATAATTTCTTTGATCTCGTTTGAGAACGAACTTTGGTTGTTGTGATTTCTCTTGCAGCTATTCCCGACGAGCTTTTACGGTTTTTCACAATTTAGTTGTCGTAGGGAGTGATTAGTCCGTTGTCGTGATATCTTTTAACGTTTAATTAATTGTAATAGTTTGAGTTTCTTTACTTCGATTGATCCATATTTTGGCTTGGTACCAAATTTTGTATTCCAATTCCGGCACTCATTGGATTCTCTAGAAATTATCAGATAGCTAGCTAACAATCTGTCTTATCTATTGTTGTCCTTTTTTATTTTGATCCTGACATTTGGAATTTGATTGATACCTTATGCCTATTATACACTAGATATAAAAGATAATATGGTATTAAAACTTCGTTTTATTAGGAAGTTATCAACGTACTATTTGTCATCTTCTATCTGTTTGATGATGGATGCCATTTATCAGCATGGAAAATCTTTTACGTCTGAGTATTCCATTTACCCAATTTGTATAAAAAATTTTGTATGCCTGCTATTTCACTAGGAATGACGTTCCATTTTATTTGATTATTTATGTTTGTGTCAATTAGACTTTGGAGTTACAATATGATTAAATGATTATGAACTTTGAATTTTGGGATTTATTTCATATTTCTCTAATTGTTGATTTTTAGATAATATTTTATATTTATGAAATATTGAACTTATAAAATTTCATGAGGCTTACATCATTGGCTTGAGGATTGCGCCCTACCTTATGAAAGTAAAATGTTCTGACTTGCACCTCTACCCTTTGAGAAATTATTCTATATGTAATCCGAACGCGTTCGGATGCTGCGTATTTACTGCTTATTGTGTTGCGTATTTTTTGATATCAAATTTTTTCGTGTCAAAAAGCAACACATAAATAATACTCACTAAATACTCATTAAATACACAATTAATACGCAAAAAATACTTAGAAAACATAATGTATCAAAAAATACGCAGTAAAATAAGCAGTAAATACGCAGCATCCGAACCCAATTCTGTGTTCGGACTGCGTACAGAATAATTTCTCCTACCTTTTAAACTTTGATGAGAAAACCATCTCAAGGAAAACAAAAATGATTGGAATTCCATCCCAGTGTGAGCGAGGAATGAGCAGAAATACTCCTCCTTTGGTAATATCGACATATGGTTCTCATCATAGATCATCTTGAACACTATCAATCAACTTAGTAATATAATATTCTAGAGGCGGAGGTCTTTCCTGCATTGTGATAGATTTATCTGAATTGATCATCTTATTTTGCTGATTAGAAAAAATGAGCTTTCTCTTTTCATTTGGTCCGACCAAAGTGTCGTAACTTCCTATTCGACGGGAAGGAGGAGTCGTCGAATGAGCAAGGTCGGATGGAGGAAGTGACGGGCTGAGGAGATCGGGCATGGAAGAAGAAGTAGCGAATGGGAGAAGTGTCGTGGAAGCAGAGCCTCGGCAGTGGGAGTTCGGGAGCAGTAGAGAGGGATTTTGACGGGAGAGAAGCGAATGGAAGAGGGAGGAGTTCGGATCGTGTGTGCCGAAGAGCTATGGAGGTCCGGTATTTAACGACGGGAGTTGGAGTGAGCTCGAGGCAACGTCGCAGGATTTACGCCGGATTTGCGGAGAAGCGACTCGAGCGGCGCTGAATCGGCAGGATTCGCGGAGGCTTTCGTGGATCCGATGGGTATGTGCCATAGGATTTCTGCATTGCTTTCTTCTCCCTTTCATTCCTTTGGTTATTGTTTAGAGGTCAACAACAACCTGTAGCTGCAGCCCCTCTCCCATCCTCACATGTTATAAGCTACAAGCTGCAAAACCATCCACTCGACCCAATCCTTGTCGAAGCCGATTTAGAACCCGGTAGAAGACCTCTTCTACCTGATCCTTCCTCCCCTCTCCTCTACCATCCTCATACCATTTCCCAACAGCAGCAGTAGCCCAACAACACCTCCAACAACCCACATTTATACAACAGGCAACAAATACAAATTTCTCTCCTTCAGTCCACTTCTAAGACCCACTAGCCCACTCAAAATCAGCCCAACCAAACAAGCCTGCATTCAGCCCATTAGCTTACATCCACCTACCAAGGTAAACACTTATCCTCTCTCACATTTCTCTCTATCCCCCTTAATAATTGTAATAATATTATTAATATTGTTAACAATATTAATATTGATATTATTGTTATTTAATATTATTATTACTATTATTATTATTATTATTATTATTATTATTATTATTATTATTATTATTATTATTATTATTATTATTATTATTATTATTATTATTATTATTATTATTATTATTATTATTATTATTATTATTATTATTATTATTATTATTATTATTATTATTATTATTATTATTATTATTATTATTATTATTATTATTATTATTATTATTATTATTATTATTATTATTATTATTATTATTATTATTATTATTATTATTATTATTATTATTATTATTATTGTAATACAAAGCACGTCATGCATACATGTCATTCAACATGCAAAATGCACTGAGTATCGACAACACTCTACATCACTATACAAACGCTTCATGCACTGAATCAACGTGCAAATACATCATGCAAATAAAACTGATGATGTGGATATATTATCATGCATAATGTACAAATGCATTATGCGCCATGTTAACATGTTAAACCACTATAGTGCATATCAAGAAATATCATGTAAAATTCAAATGCATATGCCAACATACATGCATATATGTAGATACATAAATGCTCGTACAAGTATACAAATATGCAAATGAAGGTATAGGTGTGTGTGCGAATATGCATGTTGGTCATAGATATCTGCACACATACAACCACTATACAAGCACATCATGCAAAATATATGTAAAAGCATATACCCGCATGGGCCCCGACGAGAGTGTTATAAGTACACACGTGATGTTTGAGGATGTTGCGTGGGTCAAGAAATTAACTAAGTTCGAGCCCAATCCTTCTATGTGGGTGGATAGGAACCAACATGGCTTGAGCTATCAAACAAATATACGCTCACGACATCGACTGAGATATTTGTTTTATACGTTTATATTAGACCTTCAAGGTCTATAACAAAGAAAATTCATTAATGAAGGCATAAAGCTGACAATGAACCCGATCCTCTGTTGGAAAGTAGGTAGAGTCGACAAGGTTTAATCAATAAAATAAAATTGCCTATAAGTACCCCGATGATGGTTGTATTGACAGAAAATCTCAACCGTAGGGGAGCCCAAGTATCTAAAAATACCTCCCAAATTCTCACCAAAACTCAAAACCCAAAAGTCACCAAAATCAAGATATTTAAAATGAAATAAAACACCAAAGCACTTAAAGCAAAATAGCCATCCACCCTCCTCAACGTTTTGTTGGGGTGGACAAATGTGAAAATCACTTTAGCTTACAAAGAGTGAATATCAGGTCGAGAATATGATTATGATTCATTCTCAAATAATCTTCTTCTAATAAGGATGTGGAACGTGTTCTGTAATCGGTGGTTTCGCCGCCAAATGGCACCACACTGGTGGTTTTGCCACCAAATAGCACAACAAGTAAACAGTTATGACAGGGATCTTTTGGATTTGGTGGTTTTGACGTCAAATCACAAATGACACCACTAAATTATGGTTATGATCAGAGCCTGCATGTTTCCCTATGACTTTAAATTCTTGAGATATGAATCAATAGAACATAATCGATAGAGCATAAAACTCTCTATTAGCTAAGTTGGATTCAAATTTGTCCCCTTAGACAAATATTCACCCCAAGTTTACAAGGTGCCCTTAGACGAAGTAACCCGTGGCTGTTGACAAGGATCATTCTTTTAGATTGGGTTGACTACCACCTTTGACTAAATAGACCAGGGACCATGATGACCTAGGATAACAAAACCATGGGATCTTGATTGTGTCTATTATCACTTCCCCACCATCTGCTTTAAGTGTAAGATGGTGAAATTTCTAATTTTAAATATCAAATTTTTAAATACCTAAATCATGCTGCTACTAAACACCCGATACTCCATATCTGTTTGACGACTAGCCCTAATTGAAAGTTCACTCTCTTTATCAGAACCGGTAATTAATTATAGGGGATTACGCCTATAGGAAACCTGAACTCATATCATAAAATCCTCGTAAAATGAGGGCAAAATCTTTGGGTAATGTTTCATTCAAAACCCAATCCACCTTCTTAAAAATTGCCTCGGAACTTAATTGTTAAAACTCTCCACGACAACCCGAAGAAAGAAAGGGGCCTTAGAGAGGCCTGGGCGTGAATTTTCGAAGCCCGCATTTGCATACCAACAAGATCAGGCATCTTTGCCTATAAGTCAATATGTATGTCCCATCTTCTAATTAAAAAAGCCTCATTTACTCTTCATATGCATGGAGACTGAATTACATGGTTTAAAAGAGATTATGTGGGTTAGCTAGTAGTCATTTTCATGCATGGCAATAAATCCATATGTCAATCTGGTTATACCTTATGTTAGATGTAGTTTGTAAGTCCCTTGCACTCTATTAGACTTATATTCGAGGTACTACCCCTCAGTAGTCCTCACCGTGGTTCTAGGATCCGAGATTGTTGTTAACTTTAGCCACTACATAAGCCCTCACCTTTTGGGCATTTCCTTCATCATCTGTTCTTGGAATATAAGCCCCAACATTCTAAATGAAATTGGTCAACTTAAACAAAAATTTGATTCTAAAATATAAAGCCCAACATATGATAGTTTGAGAACCTCTAAGTTTCCGCAAAATCAAGTACTCCTACATTTCATTCCTTTGACTTTCATTTCAATCTGATTTCAAGTTGATCATTCCTCCTTTGAAATTCCCAAAGATCAAATCTTTGAATAAGAATTTCATAAATTTCAAAATGGAAAAGATTAGTCAATGTTTTGATGATTCTAAAAAAAATACTAGTTTAATCAAAAGTGTTCTTAGGTAACAAATGTTTTAGATATAATTAACCGTAGGGGCTTGACCCTATGGGGCTTCTATGCCCTAGAATAAAATAAACCTTATTAAACTAAAATAGGGGAAAATCTCTATTAAAATTTAAAATGTAAATTTTATTATTGAGTGCATAGTAAAATAATATTTTTATCATTCGGGATGATATATTATTTTTTATGTCGTGCTCGATCACAAAATATACAATTCGTTGAGGATGACAAAATTACCCCAACATTCTTCTGATGGTTCATCACCAGTGAAATTTTGGTTGAATGCAATTAGCTCAATAAAATTTTGAATTATCTATTGCCCTGGGCACTATAGAGGTGTTCTCTTTTCCAAATAAACTGAATTTGGGTTGTGGTGTCGATGTGATATTGCCTTAATAGCTTTGGCGGTTGCTGGGGATCTTGGAATGAATTTCTTCAAAGCATGTTCAGATTTCCCACTCAAGGGTTTTGTTAGGCTATGCATTTATCTTTGAAATTATACTTCTCGGTCCTTTTGATATCAGAGCATATTTAGATATAATTGACCATAACCCTTATGCGACATCTGTACCCCAGAATAAAATAAATCTTATTCAACCAAATATTGAATATGAGAAAATCTATATTAAAATTAAAATAGTAAATTTTGTTATTGAGTTCATAGAGAAATAATACTTTTATCCTTCAGAATAATATTATTTTCAATATTGTGCTCAATCACAAAATATGCAATCCATTGAGGATGACAAAATTTCTCCAACATTCTTCTGATGGTTCATCACCAATGAAATTTTTGTCGAATTCACTTAGCTCAGTAAAATTTTAATTTGTCTATTGCCCTGGGTAACCATAGAGGTGCTCTCTTTTCCAAATAAACTGAATTTGAGCTGTGGTGTCGATGTGCTAATAGCTCTAGCGGCTGCCGGGGATCTTGGAAATGAATTTCTTTAGAGCATGTTCAGATTTCCCACTTAAGGGTTTTGTTAGGATATGCGTTTATCTCTGAAACTACACTTCTCAGTCCTTTTGACATCAGAGCATGTTGAGGTCCCGCTGAAGGGATTTTTTGGTATATATGTTCTTATCTCTGAACTAATTATTTCAGGTTCTCTTGATTATTATGTTTTTCTCATTTATTGATCCTTACCCAAGAATGCTATTTTTTATCCAAAATGCTTGTCAAAGGTCTGCCTTCATCTTAGTGTTTTCGTACTTAATTTGGATGCATAATTTCCCTTTCCACAGATGATTCCTGTAGCAGCAAATGATGTTGCTTTCTCAATTCATGCAGTTTTATTGACAGTCTTCACATTGTTGCAAGTTTTGATTTATGACGTGAGTGTCTTTTCCTCTGCCACTTCAACATTTTTACCTTTCATGATAATGCCATCGTGTTTAAAAGATTTAAGAATTATCTTGACTCTAATTTTGCAAGTACAGCGAGGAAATCAAAAGGTCTCAAAGAGCTGCATACTGATCAGTTCGGCCGCTTGGGCTGCTGCTTTAGTTAGCTTGATTGTTGCCTGGCCTAAGCTTTCTTGGCTATGGCTTATTTCTGTGTTCAAGTAAGCAATTTTCTTCCAAAGTTTGGTCTTTAAAATTCAAAATAATTATTAGTCAGCTGGGTTTGAGCAATTGTTTCACTTGAATGGCCATGTTCTTTAACCTTTTTTTTTTTTATGATATGTCACATTTTCAGCACCATACAAGTCATCATGACTGCAATCAAGTACATTCCCCAGGTAGGGTTCTTCGTGTCTCTCTTGTTCACTGTTTCATGATATTTGCTTGATTTTGTTGTTTTACTGTTGTCATATGCTCTAAAGTTTTTGTTAGGAGAATGATTCCAACAAAAGCACCGTACAAATCAATTTTTTGACTTATATATTGATCTTCTACTTAATCATAGAAATGATTTACGACTTTAATTTTGGAGAAGTTGGAGAACTATTTATAGCGAAAAGCATCATGAATATTGAACTCTAATACTTCCCTGTTCACGCACTTGATTGAGTATGCTGTCAATTTCTTGGAAGTTTTGCTTTGACAAAATTCCTAGTTGTCCTATTTTCCCACTTCGTTGAGCTTGGAGAGAATGTTTTGGAAGTATTTTCTCTAAATGGTGCAAAGGTTTATATTCTTAGATGCATGATATTTGCATAAAAAAATTGGGTCAGGGCATGCTAACCAAAGTTTGGTGAAGATGAATGTTAAAAGTTGTTGGATTTATTTTGAGATGAGTGCTATATATGAATATTCAAAATTGAATTACATTCATCTTAGAATAATTTTCAATAATTTTAAGGTTCATTGTGACTCAAAGGTTGATTAAAATATTCTAAGTACATTTGAATACATTTGAAGGATAATTTTGCCTTAGCTAAGGTAAGAATGTTAGTTCTGCTGGCCTGACAGTTTTTGTGCAAGTGGGACGAGTATGAGTACATTTGAAGGATAACTTTCAGTGAGGTTTATATACTTTGACAAGAATTATGCAGGAATTTTAGTTCTCTGCCTACGTTTAAGTGCTAGAACGCCAACATGTCAATCAATTCTTTAATTGTCACATACAAAGAGAAATCCCACCTTCTAAGATAACAAGCATGTTTAAATATTGCTGCACAGACCTTAATACTAAAACAATAGTAATTAGAAAAAGCTGATATTATATTTTCTCTTCTTTACTTGCCTATTGTTCAAATGTTTACATTCTCTATCTGAAGTTCTATAATAACAGTGACAAAGGCTGGTATTACTCCAGTAGGTTGATGGGTGAAACTCATTTCACCATTTAAAGATTTTCCCGTATTATAAATCTATCATTATCGGTACTTAATACGTGTAAGAAACGTTGAAAGTTGATATCAGGCTTTCAACGAATTGTAAAACCTATTCTAAAATCCTAATTTGATGATTATTAATGCTGGGGAGATTATTACAAGCAATGTGCCTCAGCGTAATCTAGTTGTGATGAGAAGTGAGTAATAGCTTCGCAAGTACCCAACCTTAATTAATGTGCCATGTCATAATTTGTTGTAACGAGACATGGACAATGAGTTTGCTAGGGAAATACCCACAAATGTCGTACTACATGTGAAGTTAATTATGGTGACAAATAAGCAAAGGTTAACAATGTCAAATAAAAATTAGATTCGTCATATGAAGTTTTAATATTTTTAATTTAAAGGCCAGAAACTAGTGGACAGTGGACACAGTAATTAGATTCTACATAAGACATGTTTACGAAAAACTAAATGGGAAGGAAAAAAATCCAAAAACATTGAGATTGCAAGTTATTATGTGTTGGATATATAAACAATTGGAATCCAGTGTGGATGGTAGTGAATTTGAGAGTTGAAAAACAAAATTATCAAGGAGAATAGTTTTAATGATTTAACTTATTCATTTCTAATCCAAATTAATAATAATAATAATCTATGTTGCACCGATACGGATACGGCGACACGGATACAACATGATACGGATACGGGACACGTCAATTCTTAAAAATACAGGATACGGGTACGGCGCGGACACGGCATTATAATTTATAAATCATACATAAAAATTAAGAAAGCAATCGAAGCATAATATTTGGAATTACAAAAAAAAATGACAACAACATCATTATATGTCTAGTACAACAACAAAAGCATAAACATAAATTATCTAGCACATGAAGTTTCAACTATTCAATAGAAGGAATGATATAATCTTCTTCAATTGTTTGTCTTAGAACTTATATATCATCTTCAATAAATATCATATCATCTAATTTAGTCTCATCAAGTGAAAGATTAGTAAATTTTAATATTTTCATATCATCAAGAGACTCAAATTCATCTTGGAAATGAGAGAATCTTGCTCGCAACCGCGGAAGTAAATACGACACGTCTTTTTTTCGGATTTCTTTTTGTTTTTCAAGGGACACGTGTATCGGATATGCATGTCCTTTTGAAATTAAATAGTATTTTAATTGGATACGGCTTTGGCGCATTCGACACGTATCGGTGGAGTATCGGAGGAGTATCCGTGTATCGGTTTATCGGATACAGCACGCCTTCATAAATAGGTGTATCGGTGCAACATAGATAATAATAATAAAGATTTTTATGGCCAGCCATTTTAAAGATAAAATATTAAATTTTGAAGATATTTTGTGCCCACAAGATTCTCATTTTGGAATATTTACAAGAAAAAAAGGATAATTATAATTGTTTTGAAGACAAAAAAATAAAGTTAAAAAATATTTAGATGAAATATGGACACTTGCGGTGGTGTGATAAAGACAGAAACATAATTAAATTTTTGACAAATACATGATTAATGTTAGGTGTCACGATATTTAAGTCGGGCTCCTGACATAATTTTTTTTTCCTTTTATGCATATAGATTTGTTGATCACCAGAGTTGCTATTATAGGCATTCATGAACTTCAAACGCAAGAGCACAGTAGGATGGAGCATTGGGAATATTTTACTTGATCTAACTGGGGGTCTGCTGAACTTTGTCCAAATGGCTGTGCAGTCTATAGATCAAAGTATGTCAACCATGCTTTTCAATCAGAAGCTCCATTCAATTGATCTTCTGTTTTGTAATTATGTTCTCATTTACCTACTCTTATTGTCATGCAGATACATGGGTAAACTTCTATGGAAATATAGGGAAGACCCTGCTTTCGCTGGTATATTTTCTATTTAATGGTCTTTTATCTCCTTGTAAACGAATCACCACTATCTTTCAGATCCATTGATGGTGCCAAATTGCCAATCCTCTGTCATGTATTCGTTTAATTTCTAGAGTTATGCTACTCCCAACTAACTTGTGCACATTTTTGGTGATTTAGACTTCGTTTGGGACGGCTTTTTTGCTGCTTCTTAAAGCAGCTTTTTAGTTAAAAAATGTTAACTTTTGTATTGAAAAGCTGCTTTAAGAAGCAGGAGGAAAGCCGTCCCAAACTAAACCTTAATGTGATTTTCATTGATATATGCATTTTTTAGCTATTATAATGAATTAGGTAGTAGTTGTTCAATGAGTTTAATGGGAGAACTTTCAATTGGCATAGGAAAACATGGTTCCTTAAACTTCTGCTGATTTCTCTATTTATGTTGAAAATATAATGTTCCTGCCATGGTGACCTTTCAAAAGCCTGACAGTGGAAAAACTTCCATGCTCAGACATTCAATTTGCTGTTTATGAGGCTGTCGTTGTTGTGCTTAGTGTTTAAACTGGTCAGAAATAGCTAAATTGACTGGTTTTGAAAAATTGGACTTTATTCAAAATAATTTTGATTCAAGACAGACCAGAACTGGAACTGAATATTGTGGTTCTGATGAGGTTGGTTTAGGCCTGATTGGTAAAATAAATGGGTAAAAAATAGTGATATGTGACCTGCTGGTTAATTAGCATATTTCTTATTAAACTAAGCATTGTAGGTTTGTGTGAACCGAATCCTTGAACTAAGGACCACCCCAAAATAACAGGTTCCGGAGAACTTAATACAAAATTGACTCAAGGTACTTGTTGAACCAGAGCTGATCAGCTGGTTCAATTCGGATTAGATCATTTCACCATTCTTGTGATGGTCAAAGCTGGACCCGTACTGGTGGTACTTCAGTTAGTAAATAAATATATTACCTCATCTGTTTTACAATATATTACAAGCTCATCACATGGAACAATGGATTCTTGTAATATGCAAATGATTTAAGAAACTGATCACATTTAGTTGGGATTAGGCGAATTATTATGCCATTAAAAGAGAAGCGTAATACTAAATTAATTGTTGCAGATATGAGGATGCTCAGGTGGATGAGCGGCTTTAGCCTTAGAGATAGGATACGAAAGGAGCATATACGTGAAAAGGTTGGAGTAGCTCCAGTGGAAGATAAGCCTTAGATGAGTTGGTCACATAAAACGACAACCTTCTGATGACCCAGTTAGGAAAATAGAGATGTTATATTTGACTTATGTTAAGAAAGATAGAGGTATACCTAAAAAGACGGTTAGAAAATATTAGAAATGATCTTTCTTTATTAGATTTAAACAAGAATTTGACTTTTAACATGACACAATGGAGAAAAAGGATTCATGTAGCTGACCCCATGTAGTGGGACAAAGGCTTGATGTATTGTTGATGATTTATGGAGTTTAGCTTAACATTTTATCTCGTGCTTTGCATATATCCTACCTCCGCTTAATAGAGCAAAAATGTTTCTTTTCTCTAAATTGTTGAGTTTTTTTTGTGTTTCCTTAATAGGAAGTTGTGTTCTTCGACATCCTCTTCATACTCCAGCATTACGTGTTCTATCCTGTCAACAAGAACGAAGAAGCTGCCCAAACAATTTCTGAAGGGCTTGATGCTCCACTCATCAATTCTCCGGAGATTTCTAAGGAGACTGCTTGAGAAAATTATTGTTCAAGCCCCACATAGTACTGTGATAAGATTGCTCACACATTTATATTCCTGCAGAACTGTTTTCTGCATTGAATCTGTAATATATTTGGAAGAATCAAGCTTCTTCGTTGTTTCTTTGTTTTGTTTTGTCGGTGTAATAAAGTAACATTTCCCTTTGTACAGACTTGTTAAAGGTAAACTGTACAAATGCTGCAAATATCTTCAATCGCCATTGTGGTTTTCTTTTATAAATGAACGCTGTGACTGGATATTTAGCTGTCTCGTTTGATGAATGGTAGAAGCTTAGCTTGTTGGCTAGTGCAAGAGACAAGTGATAGTGTTATTTTCATTCTACTAATGTGACGTCAAAAGCTTAGTTTGTTCTTAATTGCTTATGAAAATATAATGATTTGTATTATAAATGACCATTGACAACCCCGAAGCACCAAGGAGGACAGCTTTGGGCTTCAGTTGTGATAGTTTTCTTACTATTTTTGAAATCAATTTTTTAGTATAAAAATTGGTGGTTCAAGAAATTTTTATACTAAAAGTTGCTTTAGAAACCAGTAATAAAGTTGTCCCAAACAAAATCTTAGACTCTAACAATACAGCTTTTAAGCACAAACAAGAATTCAGATGGTTAAATTCCAAATTCATTACTCTCAAACCTAAAAAATTAGGCTGCTTTTGGAAAATTGATATATCAAAAAATGCATCGGATTAGCATTTATTTTGGTTCGGAAATTTAAATTAGAAAATTTTGAAAATTAGCTTAGAATCATTTGAACTTTATTTTCAAGAAATTCATAGTCAAAATATACATCTTGACAAGACAAATTCTGTAAGTTTAAGATTGTCCATTTTAGATATCATTAAGGCACTATAAATGATCAAGGGAGATCATTCTATATCATATGATAGAATGTCTGGAATTTTGACAAAATAATCAAATTGCCTTCTGACAAAATAATCAAAATGACTTCTAACAAAATATATAAATAGCCTCTCATTCTATACTTGAAATGATCTATGAAGGGAGCTTATGCATTTGAAAAATGCTAAAGCTCTGCACATTGATTGTCACCAATGGCCATTATCAGCATATTTTCATCAATCAATCATCTATGTTTCATTATCGTTAGAGATGTCAATATTTGACATGGCACAAAAAACTATAGCCGGAAATTTCGGGTTGGATCCGACCCGATTTAAAAACGGGACGGGTCGGGTTCGGGTTGATCCGACGAGTTAATATTTTTTTGTTTTTTTTTCATATATTTATAAATTTTACTATCAATAAAATCTAGTTGTGTCCCTCAAATTAAAAGAAAAAAAGAAGAAGCTAAGATATACTTATTTTTATAAGATATACTTAGTTATGTTGAAATAAAAATTATATTTAAATCAGTACTTATTTCATATTTTTATTACATATAACTGAAAACACCCAATATGATACTTAAAAAAAAATTATCTAATGTGATAAATGAAAATAATTATTATGAAATAAAATATAAATTAGCATAACAAATATTTATTTATTTCACACATAACGACAAAAATAATTCAATTTAAGAATGCGCTCCATCTCATAACCAATTCAAAATAATTGCCCACGTTGAAGCTTCCCCCTTTGACCTATCCATAATAATAATAAAAAAAAACTAAATACAATTTCTTGCCTTGCAAGAAAAATAGAAGCTTATTTAAAGCAATACCAAACACCCTCACTACTCGAACAAACCAAATCCTCAAAGCTCTGCAAGTATGAGGAGAGAGGGGCGGCAACATGGCACTGTGATGGCCTACGATATCGCCCCCCAGCCAACTGGGAAGAAGATGCCGAATCAAATTGATGGGCCGTTCATGGGGACATTTTCGAAGGTCCCTTCAAAGCTCACTAACAGCTCCAAATACACCAGCCGCTGTAGAGTGCCCAGATGTGGAAACTGTCACGACCATCCCGTGAACAAAGCGAGGATCAAAACCAAAGGAAATCACAGGCACAGAGATGAGATCGCTGATTTTTACTTGAAGGGGGGTCGCAATAGAGCTCATGAGGCCTGTGAGGGGAGTTACGATTCAGATGATAGCGGCGAATCGGACGGCGGAGAAGAGCTTGTTTGTCAGGTGGGTGGTGGTGGTGGTGCCGGAGACTGTGAAGAAGGAGAATGGGTTTTGTGTCAGGGAAGTGGTGTTGTTGGTGGAGATTGCGAATATGGAGAATGGCTGTTGGTTGAAGGAGTTTGAGCTTGCTAAAAGTTGGCCCATTAAGCTGGGCCGCATTTGAAATTTCGTGCATTAAATTTGTATTTTTGGTTTGGGCCGTCGTTGTACTAAAATTTGAAGAAGTCAGAGAAGGTGAGAGAGTGGCTCATGCTCTGGTTTATTTAATTTTATTTTATTTGATTTTATGCAGAAATGTACATTTTTTTACTTTAAAAGATATTTATTATATCATAATATATTTTAAGTAATATCTTGCCGCCCAAACTCATTATCTTGCTCATTTTAAGCTCATTTTGATTTATTGGTTGATAGCTTAGCCGATCAATCAAGAGATTTGATTTGGTGTTAGAAGCTTAAATATATGATGTGTGCAAGTTCATTTTTAATTCGCAAAAAAACAAAAAAAAAATTATGATATGTCAGTCTACTAGCTATCGCTCTGACCAGCGTATTATCGTTCTTTGCCATCTCCTTTATTATCTGATTCTTCACTAGCCTTTTATTTGAGAGTAAGAAGATATAAGACACGCAACTCACCTTGATCTATTATTTGAGAGCTTTGACTACTAATTAAAAGGTTTTGGATTCAAGTCTTGCATATCTGATGTGTGTATGAATTTATTTTAATTGGCTAAATGTTCCCCCACAAAAAGAAAATAGAAGAGAAGGCGGGAGGACAATGAAGTTTTTGGCTCTTTTTGATTGAAACAAATTTGAAAAAGTAAATGCAATTAAATTTTTAATTAAATGAATTATGAGATAAGTTTGATTTAAATGAATTCGGAAAAATATAATTTTGTATAAAATATTTGATTTCAATATAATTGAGAGGTGATTAATTTTGCAAAGAAAATATAAATGAATTTTTTTTAGTTGATAATTTATTTTTTGAACTCTAATAAAAAGGATAAAAATATCATAAAAAATCATTGAAAATCACATATCATCAATCCATAAAAATAAAAAACTTAATTTCTCCTCAATCAAAATATTTTTTACTTAATTTATTATCAACCAAATAATAATTAACTTTTATTTCTTCATTTTTTTTTCATTTTCTCCCATCAAATTTGTTCATGCTAAAAAAAATTAAGTAAATATAAATTCGTGTTTCAATACACGGTCATAATGAAAGTTCGTTAGGGATGTTAAGCCCTATAGAACTGGCTCAAGCTAACCAAGAGAGAGGTGAATTTGAAAACTTTAAAACCCAAGATAAAACTCCAACCAAAATCACCACAAACAAAATGCGGAAGAAAAATAAATGCGGAAGCGATAATAAGAAAAGAACACACCGGATTTATAGTGGTTCGGTCAAACCTTGACCTACATCCACTCCTTGGAGGCACCCTCCAAGTATTGCACTAAAATCGTGACTCTCCTTTAGCCCCCACAGCTAGGCGGAGAAGCCCTTACAAAATCACTTCCACCTTCCCCGGTGCGGCGGAGTCGCCGGGTCCTTTGACACCAAAGAGATCTTCTTCTTTGGTGAACTTACCTCGAGACAAGCCTTGAATCCGATGGTACTAAGGTGCGAGTTCGCCGGAGCAACCGTGTGGAATCCCCTCTCAAACTCCACCCTTCCTCTCTCCCTTTCAAGCTCTCTCTTCAAGTTTCCCCCACAAGAACGAAGCTACAATGGCTGTCAAAGACGCTTACAAAAGTTGCTATGCCATAGCTTAAATAGAAGCTCTCAAAACGAGCTCATTAATGCAAGTTACCAACATTATCGTCCAGGACGATAGGCATATCGTCCTGGCCGATTAGTTCAAATATGAGGAAAATCGTCCTGAATATCGCCCTAAAATGAAGCTGGACGATGTCTAATCGGCCAAGACGATTTGGAGATCGTCCAGGACGATTTGACCATGTAATTGCTTTACTTAAATTCCAGAGAAACTTTGGAAAAATTGACCTGGATCGTCCTGGACGATCCTCTGGACGATGTCCAAAAATAGGTTATTTCTAAATAGATTTGGGGCAGATTCTTGCTAATTGAGCCTATCGTCCTGACCGATACAAAATCGTCCAGGACGATGTGTTTGTTCATAATGACGGCTGCTTTAATGAGGATGCCCTAATTAGGGTTTCTACTTTTGTCAGATCGTCCATGACGATATAAATATCGTCCCAGACGATGTTATCAAAAATAGAAATCTTTTAGGGCACAATAGAAAATCTTTCAAGTTACAAACCATTAGATGCCACACCAAATACAACAGACTCAAGAAAGGAAAAAGATTACAAACTGACATAGACCTAGTCTACCCAATCTTGAGTTGGTTATAATTAGGTCGATCGTGTGGACCTGAAACGTTAGCACATAAGGCAATCATAGAGAAATAAGGAATGTTTGCTATCATCAAAATCATAAATCATAGATCCGCAACACATAAGAATTGTCCTTAATAGAGTGTTGGTCTGTTCATTGAATTTGTAGGAATGTATTTGACTGACAAAGGTTGGAGGGACTGTAGTCGGCGTATGATAGAGGTTGAAAAAATCGTATTCGGATGATGCTAGTCACAAGGATCGTAGTCGGGCTATTATGGTCAGAAGGACCGTAGTCGGGCGATTATGGTCAGAAGGACTGTAATCGACATATTATAGTAGTTAGATGGAGGCTCGTAAGTGGCTTCCGTATGGAGGTCCGACATCAATGGTCGACCGGAGGTTCAACATCGGTGGCCTAGTGGCCCGGATTTGTTGATGGTGGTGCCATGGTAGAGCTCCAAGATTCTTCATGCTTCAGAGCTTTTCTTTTCTACCTCTTCCTCCTTCCCCCCTTTCATGTGAAGAACGATGGCCTTATAATTTTTTGGGAGTGACATGTTTAATAATTATGGAGAAGATTTAGGATAAATTTGAAGTTTTCTACTGGACGACCCATATTGATTCCCTTGATTATGGGCATTTTCTGGGCATTTAAGTTCCTTAATGATGTCAAAATTGAGTGAACTTAGGCTCATTGGTTCATCTCGTCAAGCCACTCGATTCAACTATAAGCATGTCTTATTTGAATTTCATTTAATCATCCAATTAATGCTTTGAAGCTTTCAAAAAGGCTTTAATCCTTTGATTTGGCCCTATTTGGGCTTGGATTTAATTGAATTTTGTGTCATTGAGTTCATCTTCTTGAGATGTTCAATTTGACTATAAGCTTCTTGAAATTGGGAGATCCTGAATTTTAATTTAAAAGTTTTCAATATAAATTTGCATTTAAGATTGGTGCCCAATCAACACGATTTTGGTGATGTATCGATTTTAAATTCACCATTAAAATCCAATAAATTCTGTTAGATCTGGGAACCCCATCAATATTCCATTTCATTTTCTAACTTTCCTTCAAACTAATAACTTGCAATGGCTTTGTGTGGTTGAAAAATAGTAAAGAAAATTAAATGAGGTCCAAATAAAATTGCTATTGGTTAGGGATAAGAATCATTACCTTCGCGAAGATGAACATGCAAGACCTTGGGTAGCGGCTCATGGGGCTTCGCCGACATCCGACAAGCTGATAAGTTGAAGAACTTTCTCAGGTTCTTCTTCACTCCATTTGTGTACCTCCGCCTTGAACTGATAAGGAAACAGCAAGCGAACCCCCGTCATGCAAAGCACGTACTGAAGCAGCCACAAAGAAAAGGCAACGAGGGAAAGAGATGAAGTCAAACCTTAGATTATAAATTAATCTAATAATAAGTAGTATAAATAAATAATCTATTAAGTTTAATTAAATAATTAGTTGTCTAATTATCATTACATTGCTTTAATTAATATTATTAATTTATTCGTGTTGTGGACTAGAACATTCGTAGAGATAGAGAGAAAGAGCATAATGTCTTAGCTTTGAACGAAGATCCATCACACATATAGACAAAGAGTGAGGGGTGTCATAAGAGACAAATATTTTTATATGAAAAACCCTGAAAAAGTAGAAAATCATTGGGTCTGGCCAAGTTGAAATGATTACACTAGTATTTGTAGTCAATTACAAATGATGCCCTTACTCGAGGGAAGGGCCTTGGCTCATTGTATCATATATAACACATTACATAGTTGGGGTTGGAAGAATCCAATGATAAGAGAGCCATTCACAAGAGAAAGTTGGCATGTTCATTTGGCCAGTTTGATCGTAATCGGGCGACGATGGTCGAAGGGACAGTAGTCAGAAGTCAACGGGAGGTCAGAGAAACCATAGTCAGCGGGTAATGGTGGTTGAAAGGACTGTAGTTGACAGACGACAGTGGTCAAAGGGACCTCATCAGGGGTCAACGGTGGACGGAGGGACCGTAGTTGGTGGGCGACAACGATCCAAGTGACTGTAGTTAGTGGACGACAGTGGTCGAATGGACCATAATCGATGGGCAACGGCAGTCGGAAAGACTGTAGTTGGCGGACGACGTCGGAGGGATCGAAATCGGTCACCGAAGCCAAAGATGGTCGGAGGGACCGCAGTCGACGAGCAACAGTGGTTCGAGGGATCTAGCCGACAGCTTGGCAATGATCCGACGATGGTCGAGCAAAAATTCGGTCGCGATTGTCAGTCGGGTGGAAGTTCAGTGACCGTTGACGAACAGAAGGTAGTCCGATGATGGTCCAGTGATGGTCGGATGAAAGTTATATATTTATGATAGAAAAAATTGTTAGAATATTTCAATAAAAAAATTAAAATAAGTTTTGAAGGCTTTGAATTTATTTTAAAATAAATATAATATATAAATAATTTATTTTAAAAATATCTAAAATTTTAAAGTTTATCGAGATGAAAATTTTTATCTTTTTGACACATTTTTTTTCCTTGTAATATCCGTAGAATTGCGTCTTCTATTAGACTTCAAGCATTTCGATAATCTCAAAGAGGACCCAAGCCAACATGAATTTTACTTATCTACCCGTACATATTCAAAATATAAACACGTCAAAACTAGCGAGCAGCTCATCTCCCTGAGAAAGCTGAAGTCTTGTGGAATTTTTAATTACTTTTGAAAGGTTCAAGCCAACAAGAATTTTACTTTATCTACCCGTACAAGCTACTGTTTTATTATTATTATTATTATTAGTTTTTTTTTTTTTTTTTCAATCTCACTCCTCACAAACAACCTAATTACTTCCCAACCCTCAACATGTTTTACAAGCTCTCCCTTTTTATTTTTTTATTTTTTACAAGCTCTCCCTTAATTCTAGATAAAAAAATCTCTTCCAATTAAGAATCCCACTTCAAAATTTCTAATTGAATCTTTTTAGGTCTAACTTTTCCATTGTTAACATAGATTACATCAATTAAACGATTCCCATCATTATTCAATGAATTTTACATTGACTATTGGCTATTTAATGCAATCCTCTATTTTTTTCATCCGGGGCTTAAGATATGACAATAGAAGTGTTACCATTGAGAGAGAGAGAGAGAGAGAGAGAGAGAGAGAAAGAGAGATCTCGGTCGACCCAAGAAGCGTTTGCCACGAGTAGTAATAAGTGTGGGTTGTTTTTTTAGGTCGACCAGGGTTTACGGATCGCCAAGCGCTCCCGGATAATAAGGAGTGACAACGGGTGGTTCCTCGTCATTAAAAATAAAAAAAACCTATTCACTCAATCTTTCTATGCTAAATAAGCATGCCAACTCATTAAAAATTTAAAAAAATATATTGAACTATTAGGTGAGCAATATAATATTACTCTAACTTTCAATGAATTGACAGAAAATAAGAGCCCTGATTTAGAGGTGTAAATTAAAGCAGGGCAATGCCAAGTGGGGAAGCCAAAACGTATCAGCAACCTCAAAAAATGAAAGACCAGAAAGAAATAATTATCAATATATCATCATGAAGAAAATCCCATCCATAAAATATTCAATTTCGTGCCAATAAACATTCCCCCCTGTTGAATAATTCAAAGATGTGGTGGGGATAACTTGCTACACAAGCACCACTTTGCTTATAATTTTGTTCAACTGCAAAGAAACAACAAAATTTTCATCTCCATCTCTTTATCAACACAAGAGAATAAACATCCTCTTCAACAACTACTCCCCATTTTCAAAGAAACAGCAGCTGAGAATTATGAAGAGAGAAGGATGGCAGCGTGGAGCTCTCATGGTGAGGAACCCATCCCTTCACCTCACCGACTGCTCCGCCACCTTCGACGCCGGCAGATTCTATGGCAAGGCTCCGTCAAGGCCCGGCAGCCACTCGAAGCAAACCGGCAAGTGCCGGAGGCCTCGATGCACAGAGTGCCACTCCCTCCCTGCGTCAAAATCTAAGGACAAGGCTAAAGGCGCACACAAACTAAGATCCTGCAACGTCAAGCTGAACCACAAGCTTGTTTCATGGAGAGTTGTCAATGGAGGGCAGCGGCCAAAGTTTGCCGGCGCATCAGCCAGTGATCTGTTGAGCCAGTTGTCTGGTTGTTATTGGAATGAAGAAGATGATGATCATGAAGATGAGGTTCAAGAAAGTGGAGATCAATTTCATGAGTGTGTTGATTTTGATGTAGGAGGATGCAGTGATGAAAAGGAAGATGAGGAGGATATGAAAGAAGATGAGGATGTGGATGATGACATGGGTTTCTGTCAGGTTGGGTTTATTATGGAGTATTTAGAAAGGGAGGATTGGTATATGGTGTATGAGATTTGATTGGAGTGGGAGGGGCGTTATGGTTTAATTTGTGTACAGTCTAATGTGTATTTTTATGTATATTACTAAGTTCTATAATAATGTACAGGAATGGTTTCATTGTACTGGTTATATCTTATGTTTCTTTGACTTTGTCTTTGTTTGGGATGACATTTTTACTGCTTCTTGAAGCAGCTTTCTAGTAAAATAATTTAATTTTTATACTAGAAAGCTACTTCAAGAGACAGTAGAAAAGCCATCACAAACGAAGCCTTTGATAGACTTAAACCATGCAAAAAAAAAAAAATCTCACAGAGAATATACTTGCATTTTGAATACTTTGTATTTAGTCTTATGTTGAATCAGTCATGTATGCTATGTAATTACAAGAATAAGTATTCTCTAGCTTTATTTTAAGCTTTCAAACAGGCATCACAACATCCAAGAAAGGGTCGCATGAAAAAAAAATATTTACAAAGCATATTTGCACAGAGGCAGCTTTGAACTACTCATGCAAATTAAAAAGAGAGCTCCTTTCTCTCATAACTACTTCCATGCCTGACATTTGATTAGCTGTAGGCTTATCTCAGTGATGGGAAATTGATATTGTTTTGGAAGTTAGAGCTCATAAAATCAAAGGGCATAGACGAGAATCTTACATGATCAGAGGAGGCTGTAGAAGAGGCATGATTAGTTTTGTCCTTGCTTCCCATCTCAATATTGATTGCATCATGGATTGCTAGTTCCACCTCCTGCATTTTCGGCCGGGAGGTTCCATGGATTTGAACACTGAGGATTGCAATCTCGGCTATCCTCCACAGAGATTCTATTTTGAAGGTGCCGACAAGACAAGGATCTACAAGACTCGTTATATCACCTTCACTGATTAAAGACCTTGCCTGCAAATGAATTCTATTGTCAAGACAGTGTTTAGATTCTGATCTATATGTTATATTGACTGGAAACCACGATTGAAATCAGACAAGGATAAGGACAAAGTTAAAACAGTTTTCGCTGTTTATTATATTTTATCATCAAGAAAAATATCCGGTTGAATTTTTACCAGGGATATAAGCACTAGCTTAGAATTTTATCGAACCATCATTAAATAAATCAAATCAAACCCATCAAATATGCTCAGTTTTGTTCAATTTTTCAGTTTAAACTAACTAATATACACCCCCCCTAGCTCAAAGTACAACATGATATAGTGACCCAATATTTTAAGGATCCAATAAAATGAAAATACAGTCATAATGAAAAGTGTAACTAGAGAGAGTCGCCTTAGATGATTTGGTCACATAAAATGTAGGTCATCCGATGACCCGGTTAGGAGAGTGGATGCATTAGATTTGGCCTATCTTAAGAAAAAGTAGAGGTAGACCTAAAAAGACTTGGTTAAAAAATAATATAAATGATATTTTTAATTAGATTTAAATGAGAATTTGACTCTTAATAGGTCAAAATGAAAAAAAAGAGTTCATGTAGATGACCGCACGTAGTGGGATAAAGCCTGATGTTGTTGTTGTAATGATGGTTCGATTTTTTTTTTTTTTTGGAATAAGGGTTATTTGAATTTTAGTTGGTTTGGTTAAAAAATATATTGTTTGTTCTTTTTTTATTTTCTTTTGTGTTTTATTTTGTAGTGTAAGGTACTCTCTCTTGATGACATTTTCACTTTGCGTTAATTTCAACGCCCTCATCACAACACTCAACATTTTGTCATCATTGTTGTTACTATTCTTTTGACAAAAGCTTAAGATTGATGCTAAGTTGATGACCAATTATAAAACTATGCCAATTTTCATGAAATAAAAATATGCACAAAATGGAAAAAGATTTCAAGGCCTGAGGATATATTGAGTTCCAATGATGTTTTCATACCCAATGGACAATGTTCCAGTCAACACCGTAGTCTTGCACAGAAATAGGCTTCTTTCCCGAAATCAACTCAAGGAGTACGACTCCAAAACTATAGACATCGCTCTTATCAGTCAATTGTTGACTAGCATAGTACCTGTAAAAAAAGATTAGGTTTATTAACTTCATTACTAGCCAAATTAAGGTTTCGTTTGGGACGGCTTTCTTATTGCTTCTTAAAGCAGCTTTTTTGTACAAAAATTTAATTTTTTTACAAAAAAGTTGCTTTAAGAAGCAGTAAGAAAGCCGTCCCAAACAAAGCCTCCTAAGATCTTCCTACTCCAATATCAACTGTAGCTAGCTTACTCGGGATCAACATAGCCCACTGTTCCCCGAGCAACACTTGATATGTGGGTAAAACTATTGTCAGTTGCTTGTTTTGAGAGCCCAAAATCCGAAACTTTTGCTCTCATGTTAATATCTAGCAAGATATTGCTTGTTTTAACATCACGATGAATTATAGCTGGATTACATCCATTGTGCAAATAGGTAAGACCTGCAATCAAAAACAGTGTAAGGGACAAAATGAAGTACCCAAGAATGGCAAATTAAGGAAATCAAAAGAGAAAAAGAGAAAGGGCTATGAAGGCTGCGCTCCAAACCTTTGGCAGCATCTTCTGCAATCAAGAGACGAGATAGCCAATCGAGATTTGTCTTTTTTACAGAATCTGGGTAACATTAACAATAGAGAGAAATCTAAGCCATTTAAAAAATAAAAATTCAGATAAAGAAAATTTAGAGATGGCTAGATGACATCAACGGAGGGACGTTACCATGAATGTGATCTCGCAAGGATCCGTTGTGTACGTACTCATATACAAGAATTTTATTAGATTCTTCTTGACAGTATCCAATGAAAGAAACTAAACTTTTATGATGAATTCTTGAAAGAAGAGTGACCTGCGATTATAAGATTATTCAGAAGAAATTAGCAAGCAGTGGGTTAGAAGTAATAACTGAAAATAAAAGGCAGTTAACATCTAGCAAAGAATTGGTTGATTGAATGATAGATTTGTAGAAATATTTAATGCCGGCACCGATAAAACTACTGAAATGATGTGAAAAATATGTGACTTTGGGCAGTCAAGTTAAGAGTACACGTTTTAGATATCTGAGATATATTATTCAAAGTGATGTTGAAATAGATGAGGATATTATTAGTAGAATTCAAGTTGGATGGTTGAAGTTGTAACAATTCAAACTCTTAACTATCGAGATATTGTTTGCTTTGGCCTAAGGATCTTACAGTTTTATCATATTGGTGTAACTTCTCAGAAGGTCACCCATCCCAGGATTTCTCTGAGATAAAAGAATCATTCTTCCAAATTAGATTCTAGGGCATCATAAAAGTGGAGGAATGCATCAGGACTCCTGTATGATAGAGAAGTACCCTCAAACTTAAGGGAAATTTCTATAAGATGGTGGTGAGGCCTTTAATGTTTTATGGTGTAGAATGTTAGCCATTAAAAGACAAGCATAAAATTAAGTTAAGTTTTGCAAAGATAAGAATGCTATGGATGAGTGGCTTCACTCTTAGAGACAATATGCAAAACAAGTACATGCATGAAAAGGTTGGAGTAGCTCTAGTGGTAGATAAGATTAGAGAGAGCTTTCTTAGATGGTTTGGTCACATAAAACATCAGCCATCCAATGACCTGGTTAAAAGAGTAGATGTATTAGATTTGACCTATGTTAAGAAAGATAGAGGTAGATTTAAAAATACTTGATAAAAAAATATTAGAAATGATATTTTTTTTATTAGATTTAAATGAAAATTTGACTCTTAACAAAAAAAATGGAGAAAAATGATTCATGTAGCCGACCCCACGTAGTGGGATAAAAGCTTGTTGTTGTTGTTTTTTTGCTTCTGATTTAAATAGCACGTCACATAGCAAATAACAAACATATATGGCTCCTTTACCTAAAAACATTACTCCCTTGTAGGTAGACTAGATGGACTAGGACTGGTCCATGTTTATAGGCTTTTGCCTCCATAAGTGTCCGGCTCCCTTTGGCGGTGGGGTCCATGCTTTAATGCAAAAAAATTAAGAGGCGGTTTATGAGGGAAAATTCAAAGTAAAGGGCTGTTTAGGGATTTAAATGTTTGTTGTTTTGCTTTAAGTAGATTATTGTGTTGTGTGTGAAATCTGATTGCGTTGATCAATCTGATTGTTATATTGTCTCAAAACTCAAAACTTGTCATGTTCGCTGGCGGGTGTCAAGGGTTTACCCCATGCTTGGGTTTGAGATGAGGGAAATTTTTTTTCATATAATGCCCAGACGCTGCATACCTGAGCACACCGGCACTATGTTCCCGAGCACCTCAGCACTAAACGACAGAGAGTATAGTGTTGTAATGGTATAGATAGGCACTGCAATGGCGCAAGACAAATGATTAAGCGCCACAACACCCAAATTGACGTCGCAGCGCTGCGAGATGGATTGAACGATTTCTTTCTCGTTTTTCTAAAGGGTTACGTCCCTTGGGGTTATTTACTTAGCTTTCTCTTTATATTTTTTATTAGGGCAAATGTAGGCATTGAGAATGATGCATGTGAGAAAAGAAACAAGGAGAGAGTGAGAGAGGAAAATCTGTACTTATTTCTCCCAATTTTCATAATGGATTTCTTGGTATGGTGTGGCTCAATGGTTTTATCTATATTTTGGATTTTTCCATGTTAAATCCCGGTGCCCTTTATATTTTCGCGGCTTTTACTTTCCTGCTTATTTCATCATTGTGGTGTTTACTCCTCATCTCTCCCCAACATATTGTCCCTAGGGTTATGATTATATATGTTTTGCAGAATTTGAGAGATCCTTAGGTTTGTTTGGGCACTAGATGTCGGCTTGGGATTTGGGAGAGAAGGATCTTCCTATTGAATTGAAGATCCATTGTATCTTGTCTTCTTTTCATAGCTACTTCAATAAAAAAGGGGTTGGTTTGCATTATTCTACATATTTTCTCTTGTTATTTACTTGGTGGCTTTGCTGAAATTCAATTTCAGCCGACAGTTAATTATTTTCTACAAGCGTTTCCTATCAGTATGTCAGTAGAGTTGCACATAAAGAAAATAATTTCATACAGTTTAAATTCAGTTGAAAATATGAAAAAAAAAAAAAAAATACAGAGGCCAAGAAAAGTTGCTACATTGCATCCCGAAAAAAACATGTGGAAGTGCTGCCAGGAGAGATTTAAAATAAAACATAACATGTCAAAGATACCCATGAAATTTACAGCCGGCAGACATTTAAAATAAAGCTGGCATTAGAAGATACTCACTATCGTAAGAGAGGTTCTATAACCAAGAAATGAATAATAACAATTAGTACTAACATAAAGTGTAATCTGTATAGAATATCTGAAGAATCTAGCATATAAACAGAGCTAGATTCAAAGGACTCCTAAGAAAGAGAATAAAATTAAAACCATTCTTCCATCAGGGAAGCAATTTGAATCTATACTGGGAGTCAATTATAAAAACTTCTCAGATAATAGCATGTCAATGTATTTCAGGCATATTGAATGTATTTAGGGGTCAACAGCATGAACTCTCCTGGTCTTTTTAACCGCAACTCTCTGAATGAGCAGTCTATAAAAAGGAGGTCAATAAAAAAGAACAAAAGCCAAACCAACCTCACCTCATTGATAAATTGTTGAGCTCCATGACTAGATAAATCAGCTGAAACTTTGACTGCGATTTCTTTTCCCTCCATTTTGCCATAATATACTGGTCCATAACTACCTTCACCAATTTTTTTGGAGAACCCTCCCGTAGCTTCTTTTATTGCAGAAAAGGTTATGCAATAAGCCACATCCAGGCCTTCATCAATAGCCAAAGATGTACTTCCTACAAGAGGATAAGGAGTTGAAGTCCTTGACATTATGCGTAAAGAGTTATCTGTCACAATGAAAAGATGCCAAATATATTGCCAATTAAAGGTTTATGAAATATCAGTCAATAACAAACAAAAGCAGAAGAAAATATACTTTTTTCTCTATTATCACTCTTCTCTGGCTTTCTTTGTCGAGCCCTTAGTAGCCAGAAACATCCAAGCACTAATAAAACTACAAAGGTAGCAAATGCTCCAATAGTTGTGGCAAGTACAATTGCTAGTTCATTCTTGCGCCTTCTTGGCAGATTCAATCCAGGATTGCCATCATACCTGTAAATTGATGCTGATATTAGAAGTTAAACGTATAAGAAAGAATAAACGTTTGTGACATGCTAGAAGAACCACTCTAGCTATTCATAGATTCTGTTCGATCTCAGAATGTCACGCCCTCATATATCTCTTCACCCAAACCCTCTACAAACCTCACACATCCTACCATGTACTCTTTACATCAAATTTGATACTAGTGTCTATGTAATGAATAATCTAGCTTATCTGAGTCCAGAGAATCCTTTACAAAAACAAACAGCTGCACTTTCTCATAAAGAATCAAGCTAATCAGTTCTATAAAAACAACGTTTTGAGAAATGTACAATCATTATAAAAGCTAATGAGTTTCCTTGAATATCCAAGAAAAACTAACACCTAAATTCATTCTCATTTCCATTTACTCTGCTAAGAGATCACCTCTATGATACCAAAGCACAAGGGGACCCGTCAAAATATTCACAAATTAGAACAAAAGCTATAAAACTAAATTAGAACCCAACTAATTCTTGTTTTGATAGATCTCTCCTTGCAGTTCTTATTTATGAGTAAGCGTCTCCTCTCCTAGGATGACCACTTCGGCTAAAGACACCTAATATGATATTCCATTTTGTTAATATACATATCAAACCAAACTACAGGGGTGCTGAGCAAATCTTTGGTATCTAGGTGCATAATGTCAAGGACTTAGGGATGTCAATTTCACTATGATGCACGGACACGGACGCGGCGACACGGACACGACACGACACGGACACGGGACACGACTTTTTTTTAAAATATAGGACACGGGTACGGCGCGGACACGGCAGTACATTTTTTTATATAGTGTATATATATTAATGTAATATCATATTAGAAATGACAAACATAATAAATGAATGACATGATAACTTGTCTAGCTTATAGTATACAATATTTAGTACAAAATATCTAGTACAACCACAAAAATATAAGCAAATAATAACTTACTACAACATCAAGCATTCAAGCTTCAACTATTAGGATTAGCTTTAGAGGTTTGTTTTTTGCCTTCAATATCATCATCATTGAATATCACTACTTTCAACTCTGGTTCAACAAGAGAAAGATTTGTAATTGTGCAAAAAGAGAGGAGATAAAAATACCTTCACTGCCAAAGAGAAATGAAAATGAAAATATTCGATGAATGAGTATTAAATGCAGACGTTGATTTGGTGTTATGGATATGAAATAAGAAATTTAGTTTAAATCTCGTCAAATATAAGAAATTATATTTTTAATTTGTTTTTAATATTTTTTTAATCGGACACGTTTTCGGCATGTCCGACACGTGTCGGAGGAGTGTCGAACGAGTGTCGTGTCGGACACTGCACGCCTCTTTGAGGAGAAGTGTCGGTGCATCATAGCAATTTCGGGTCACGGGTCTGGTTCGGGTTGAACCCGGAACTGGTCACTATTCGGGTCAACCCGAACCCGACCCGTTTTTTGCAAACGGGTCGGTTTTTTGGACCCAAACCCAACCCACTTCAGGTCCGGGTCAACCTGACACGACCCGAATGACACGGGGCCAACCAAAAATTGCTAGTTTTTTGGTCAAAAAACGGGTCAATCTCCTATTTTTTTCGGGTAAAAAAATGGTCAACCTCGGATTCTCGGATCAAAACGGGCTTTCGGGTCAAAAAATGGTCAATTTCGGATTTCTGGGTCAACCCGAACCCGACCCGTTTTTTAAAACGAGTCGATTTGTTGAACCCGAACCCAAACCGTTTCGGGTCTGGGTTGATTCTTACCCGGAATTTTTGGGTAAGGTTCGAGTCGAATTTTCAGGTCATATCAAATATTAACACCCCTACGTACACTAATATTTTTTAAAGGTACAGTTTACAATATTTTGTTTTTATTTTGTCTTTTCATCATTTTAGTTCTCTAAAATTGTGTTTGAACAAAAAGAAGGTTACACGTGAGTGAGGGAACTTACTTAAATAGAAATTTCTTTGTCAATAATGCATGAGGTATTTCCCCAGTAAAATTGTTATTCTGTATATACCTGGAAAGTAGCATATATGAACAGAAATCCTAAAAAAAATTAGAATAAACACATAATTCCTCCATATGCATGACCTTCTTATGGTATTACTAGGCATATAATGCTTGTACATACAACTCTTGTAGGTTTGGTAGTTCTCCAAAGTATGAAGGCAGCTGACCATTCAATCTATTGTTTTCTAGGTGCCTGCACATTTGAGAAAATATGGATCAGTAAAAACTGCAGCGATTGTAAATGCGTCCAATATGCAAAGAAAATAGAAACTCACAAAATTTTAAGAATCATCAGATTGCTCATATCTGGGATTGGCCCATTCAAGACGTTCCCATCCAGCCACCTACGCCAAGGTGAACATTTATTAAGATTCAAGCATAACTTCTAACTTTCAAAAAGGGAAATATAGTTTAGTTGTCAACTGAGCTTACAACTCCTCTAGCTGATCTATTTGTTTTATCTCTGAAGGTATGAAACCTTTCAAATTCTTATTCGACAAGGCACTTCAAAAAGTATAGAATTATTAGCCATAAAAATTGTACTTGTCCTTAATTCTTCTAAAATTCAGATGCAGACTGTTTGCAGAAATTACATTTTCGTAATTCTTAATGGCATTGCAGAGCTGCAGTTCACCCAATCCCACGCTGCAGGGATACAAGGATCTCCATTGTCATACCTCCAATCACCAATTGAAGCCAAGGAGCAGAATGCATTTAATACAGCAACTTTCAGACCAAAAAAATGTATAAAATCAGTTCCAAAGCAACTTCACGCTTTATGCTGAACAGAATCCATTCAGAAAAATTTATATTTTTTGACTAATTACCATCTTGAACATCAGTCTTAGGAATGATTTGCACGTATTTGCTGATTTCAATGGCATTCAAGAGTGGACCACGAGTAGAATCACGGGTCTTTGAAAACAAAAAGGAAAGAACAAAGTCCAAGGATACATTCATGTAACTTGGTTCATAAAGAGCGTAGCTCCCATGGGCATTCTCAGCAATATTGACTATCACGTTGTCATAACCGGGCACATTTGGCTGCTTCATTATGAACTTACGAGTTTCATTCTTACCTAAATCTTCAATCTCAGCTAAATATGCATAAGCACGAGCGTTTCCTGGGAAACCTTCAAGATCTAACCTGTAAGAGAGGCTTCCCCTTGTTCCAACAACTGCTGTCTGCATAACCTTGACAGGTGGAAACTCTCTAGAGTTTGCCATAACATTCTTACTAGTGCTAACATTTACTGTACCAGGAGCCATTCCCACAAGATAATTCTGCCTTTTGTCCAAATCTGATTCCCATATACGATCATAAGGATCGTCAGGATATCTGTTACAAAAGCAAATCAAGAAAACAACCATGCTCTTATGATACATGTGATCAAATCAGCAGTGATGAAGTTGATCATGGAGCACTATATTAGCTCAAGTATAACCGACAAAAACAATAAACAAATATTGCAAATATATAGCATATGGGTTCAAAACTTAATTCCTGAAAGGATTATATATAATTATCACAGCCCGAACTCTTATCCATTGATAGAGCTGGTAATCAAGTCATTTTCAAGTGAGCTGGTTTCAACTAGAAGTTACAGATTTCAATACAAACAGTAAGTATATATATATATATTTATCAACTCTTGAGCCTGCTCGGCCATTGAATCTTTCGAATCTAATTTCAGAACCAGCTATGAAGAAAGTTTCTTCTGAAAGGTTGCAGCAAAGAATAAACTTGGTTCTCTTAGTGTGATCCGATAAGGTAAGCATGGATCCTATCGATGATCCTCTACAGGTACCTCTACTGTTTTTATTTCATGCCTTTCACCACCACGAACTTGAATTTTTGAAAGATGCCTTTAAGACATTTTTAAGTAGAATTATTTAAAGCTAGAAATTTTCTTTTGGTTTAATTGTTTGGTGTTTCTCTAGAACTTGATAAAGTCTGTGATGTTCGTTCCTGCTTCCCGAATTCAGCAGAGGGGAGGGGGGGGGGGGATAGAATTATTTTTTTTAAGGCCTTAAGGTAAATTTTGCTTTTGTTTATTGTAAAGGCGTATCAAGTTGGTAATCGAGAGCCGCCATCAGGGTGGTCAACCCACGTGGGATAGTGGGGAGATTGTATGGAGACAGTTCAGCTTGTGTGGACAAGCAGTAATGTCGGATCAGACACGGAAAATCAGGGGGGTCTCACCCCACATACTCGCTGCAACTGGCACTGCTGCTCGAAGGACCTAAGATAACTGCCACTACTCATCCAGAGGAGGTAAACAGGAGAAAGCCACCAACTGTGATGAAACCAAGGAGGGTTTCAAGAGACTGACTTGAACTATCCGAATTGAAGGAGAAAGAGGTCAAGTGCAGGCCTCTGCTAACGTTGCGAAGCGAGAATTTGCACCTTGGGCATAGGTGTAAATAGAAGAACCCTGCACGTGATAGTGGTGGGGATTCCAGAACTGAAGGACACAGATGAAGGGGTACAATGGAAAAGCTATGTGAGGTAGAAGCATCATCACCTAGTATGATAGAATGAGTCTGAATTCGATGAAGGCTTGCCATTCCTCCGCACCATGAAGATGGAGGGGAAATTGAAGGGTGGCAAGGTGAGAGTTTTGTTTGATAGTGGAGCCACTAACAACTGCCTTGGCGCTATCGAGTGACGGAACACGTTGAGTCTTGAGGTGATAGCAAAGTAAGGAGGTAGAGGTGACCAGTATGCACAGGACAGAAGGCCGTATTCATGGGAAATGCAAGGGAGTTCACTATTATGCTTGCCAAGGGAGGTAGTTACTTCAAGATTTTTTGTTGATTGATCTGGAAAAACGCGCGACGTCATCTTGGGTATGCAATGGCTTCAGTCCTTAGGAGACATGGAGGTCCATTGGGAGAAGTTGTTGGTTTAAAAGCAACAGTAATAGTCGGAGGGTGGCCACTACAGGGTGATCCTAGCCTATGTGGGTTTCGCGACCCCGACGGAATCTACATTCTTAACCTTGAAGGACAAGGTTAAATTTTTTAAAGGAGGGAGTATTGATGCGTTCCGCCCTCCGATCAGACAGAGGGTAGGGGGGGGGGGGGGGGGGGGCTGGCACGACCACACACAGCGCAGCGGAATCGCGGGGGAGGGAGCCGCCCGCGACGTTCGGGCCAGCCGAAGGGGAAGCCGGGGCGAGCGGAGCGAGCGGGGCGGTTTTCGGGCCTTGAGCGGAACCGGTCTAATCTGGACAGGTTTGGCTCGGGTAGGCCCTGAGCTGGGCAGTTCAGTTGTGGGCAGGCCCCACTTAGTGGTTGGTTGGGTCTTTTGCTTGTTTTAAGTAAGGAATATAGGGAGATTTCTAGGTTATGCAAGATTTGGAGTTTTCTCTTAGCCTCCCTTAGTTTCTTTCTCTGTTTTTTCTAGGGTTTGTAGGGGAGACCTGTCTCTGTCTCGAAGTGGACAAATTTGTATCTTGTTTCTCTTGGATTTTGAATGCAAAATGTTCTTGTTCTTCCTCTCATCCCTCTTGTGTTGATTTTTTCTTGGCATTTGGAGGAGAAATTTCATCTTGAAAGGAAAATTAGGGCAAACCCTAATTTGTGAAACCTAAGGCGTATCATCTGCTCGTGTTGGAGCACTTTTTAGATGAGCGGTTTTATTGGAAATTTTTTCAGTGAGGACAAACTAATGAGGTCCATTAGGCCAAAGTGACAATATTTTTGAATGAGAGTTCAGTTTATGAGCATGATATATGTGAGTAATAGATTCATCTTGAAGATAAGAACTAGTGCAGGAGTACAAAATATTGTCATGGTAACCATTCTCTGAACCCTTCTATAGCAAAGTATTTTGTGGCTCCGAAGAATTTTGTGCCCCGACGTCCCTTTCTTTCGGGAGAAATTTTTAACGAAGTAGGTTTCAGAGTAAATTTTCAAAAGACATTGGATTGTGAATAAGATACTATCGCAAAAGATTCGCCCTCAATTTTGAGACTGGACTGACACGCAAGAATCTGGAACAAAATTTTTTGAACTGAAATTTCAAATAACTTTCTATGAATTAGAAATTTTTGTAACTAAGAAAAGCTACTTTATAAAAGCAGTAAGAAAACTTGTCCAAACCAAAGCCTCAGAGTGGTCCTGTGGGGGTCGGAAACCCATGGTTGACTTCTTTCTTGAGCTGGGGCTGGTGACTCCATGGGAAGAATGGAAACTACGCGTCCACATTGGTTGGCATCTGAAGAGTCTTCGTTGTTGCTGGGGTTGTGAAAACCAAAGAACAGAGAGGTGGGATTTAGGAATTGCCGTAAAATCTAAAAGCTGCATGCCCGATGGGAAGAGGGGTTTTCTCACCTGAGACTCACACTGCTTGTTTCTTGCAGTCTCCACACAAGAGCAAAAGCGTAAAAACACACGAATAAGATGACAGCACTTGGATTAGGTTTAGGATAATTTAAACTTAGTTTTTTCTGAAAGATTACGCCTTCTCATTGAAATCTCAGTTTTTCGTTACGTTTTTAGTTGAGGTTACTTTGGTCCTATTTAAAGAATTAAGCGACTGAATTAATAATTTATATAGTTGGGACTATTTTGATCTTTTTATAAAAAATTAGGACCATTTTTGATACTTTTTATCTGTATAAATCTATTCATATTTCATATATATATATATATATTATATATATATATTAATATATATATATATATATATTAATATAATATTATATATATA